GCGGGGGCGCCGCAGCGCAGCGGCCGCCATCGCCCCGGGTGGCGTGCGGGAAAGTGAAGTGCGGGGAAAGTTTGCGGCCCTGCGGGTGCCCGTGGCTGCGGAGGGAGGGCCACGCACCCGCCGCGAGGAGGCTGCCCTGAGGGCAGAGCAGGCCTGTCAGTGCCACCCGCCAGCGTGCCGGGAGCCGCTGCGCCCAGAACAAACACAGTGTCCCCCAGAGCGCCCGCCAGGAGTTTCCCATGCCGTGAGATACACACACACATACGCGTATACATTGTGCACCACACAGCACAGTGCTCACAGCTCAGCGGAGAGAAGCCGCAGCGTTCCCGCGAGCCCAGGGAAGGGACCACATCCACCGCGTAAATTATGCCTGGCAAGTTGTTCACCAGCTCCTCCTGGCAGAGTGGGGCAGGAGCGCTCCCACTCCCACGCGCACCGGCACACGAGGCAACGCTGCGGCCACCTCACGGCCGCAGGCACGCGGCAGTTAATAAATGAAAGTTGCAGCCAGAGAAATCATTATAGTTCTTGGTAAATTGGAGTAAAGGAAGAGAAAGTTGTGCCATCTCACTGGCAATATACATGGGGAAATGAAGGTCTTATTCACAGGATTTTACATCCTTTTGCTCCTGCTGGAATTTGAGATTGGGATATTTCTGTTAGGGATCCACACTTGGGACGTGGCACATGGTGCAGTAACTTTTCCTCAGGAACAATGAAAGACATGAATTTTGGCACAACCAGAAGCCTCACTGTTAGTGCTCCAGCAGGGAAGGCAGATTCATACAGGACACGGACGGTGATGGTCAACCTGGTAGCTCACAGATGCCCAAAAAGTCCCAGCAGTCATATTTGCATTATAGAAGGCTACGTCTTATTTGGAAACAGCCTATCGAACTAATCATCTGCCTTTAAGCACACAATATGCATTTAAAATATCTAGAGAGAGAGATTTACCCAATAAACTGTAACCTTTCAAGTCACCAGGATTACCTCTTATGACAGTCCTGCTGCAGTTTTCAAAGTCTTTTTTG